TAGATATGGGGTGGGGTACACCCCCATTGTTGTGTGGGATCTTTGGGGGCGGCGGCTGTCATCAAAAAATATTGTATTGTTATTATTTTATTTTTATGTGGCAGTGTCGAGGACGCTGGCTGATGGTATTTGCATAAGGATGCCATGCTCGTGGTCCTAAAGGTCCTGGTCGGAGGTCCTGAAAACCAGCAGCCAGAAAAAAAATGTTGAAATAAAAAGCGTTTTGTGTTCGTTTCGCTTGCTTATTTCGCATTGTAAATTTTTATGCTAAAACGGGTGTGTATGTGTGGGTGTGTGAGTGTATGTGTGGGGGTCCTGCCACACCCCTCCCCATCCTCCGCCCCCTTTTCAGCTGCCTAGCGAGCCAAGCAATCACACACATTGTAATTGAACACACACGCTCGAACGCATTTTGTTTAGATTTCATTTTTTTTCTGTGTGTCCTTGTTGCTCCCGCTCCTTTTTGGTCCTGCTTTATTCTTCGGCGGGTTCGTCTTTCTATACGTATTTTTTGTGTATTTTTTTTATACATTTTGGGTTCAGGAGATGTCGACATAAAATGCAAAACAGAATTTCATTTTCGGCAGGAATGCTCTGAGCGGAGTTGTTGTTATTGGGAATGCTACAACATTGTTGAAGCATGTAATATCCTGCCAAGGATAAGGGTTGGCACACTCACACTGGCACACACACACACTCACACATCCATATGAAGGACCCTCCCCACTACATCATGTATGTTGTTGACGATTTCTGCTCGACTTTTTCGTCCTTCTTCCTTTTTTTTCGCTCCTTGCGAATTTAGTTTATTGGTTTTGTGTGCCTGTATGCGTGTGGGAGGAGCTGCCCTGTACACACACATGTGTATGTGTGTGTGTATGCGTGAGTTCCCTTTTTTGGGGTGATTGATTGGCATTACGAGCTCGACATTTACATACACATTTCATTTATGCAAATGCTCGCAATTCATATTCCACAAATACTTTAGCAAATTACAATGAGCCAGCAGCAACAACAACTACCGACCGCTCTGCTCACATTTCAATTTCCAATTTTAAGCATTTTCGCAGCTAATTTCCCCTCAAGATTTGCACCAGTTAGATATCCATGCCAGATATCGGCTCTAGATCTCCCGTAATTTCCTGTCGCAGCCATTTTCGTATTTCCACACGCCAATGGGGCGAAGTGGAACGAAGATGGCCAAAATGCAGCGATAGGTGTGGCCAAGATAGTCCATCACTCCACGGCTATTCAGTTATTCATTCGGTAAGTCGGACATTCAGGCATTAGCACAACCAGAACCCGGTCCCTCAAGCAGGGGCTGGAATGTCATGCCTGACGAGTTATGCTGATAAAGAGGCGTTTACGGCTAAGACAGCGATACAGTGGGTTAAAAGCTTGGCCAGTTGGTAAGATAATGAAACTACTTCGATAGGAAATGTTTGATTTAAAGAATAATTATCAATATTTACATAGCCAGCAGCTACTTTCAATAAATTATTATAAAAACAAATCAAAATCAGTAGATTTTTAAAAGCTCATTATTAAAGACATATGTCTATTAACTCAATATTAACTGCAATACTAAAACAGCATTACAACTTATAGACTTTTTCTGGATTTAAAAAAATTCCTAAGAAATATATACATATATATGTATTTTGAAATATATAGATATTTCAAGACATAAACAGTAGAAAATTTTATAAAATTTGCATGTACTTAAGAGTCTACGTTAACAACATTGTAAGCCAATATCTTGTTAATATGGTAATATCATACAATTTTTGAATAATGCCTTTTTTATCAACCGTTGCGATTATATCATATTTAAATAAGCAGTTCATTTGAACTATCTAATTTTAAAAATATATAAAGCTCTGAAATTGTTGTAGTTTCTTATCATATTCATGAAAGCATTTAATTACTATATTTTAAGACTAAAATGGTTAATTATTCCCACTGTGCCAGCAAGTTGAACAACTTCCTCCGCTCAAGACTTGGATTTAAATTAGCATTTTGCATAAATGTTTGGCATGTCATCATAAAGCAACACAAGCACGCACATACACACTTAAAACACACATTAAAACCGCACACCCACACAGGCAGAAGCACACCAACACACTGACAGCGGAGTTAGAAACATCAAACAGGCATTTGCAGCCACACGCGGCGTATGCGTAATGCGAAATGCAGACATCAACTCAAAGGAATCGAAAGATTCGTCTCGTTTGTGCCATATATCTTTATTATTTTCGTAACAATTTTCGGGGCGCGGTTTTTGCGATGTGCAGCTGGGCAAATCCGTTTTGTGTGCAATCAGCTAAAGCTATCGCAAAATTCGATCGACCAGGTACTCTAAATAATGTCTCCTAAGCAGCGCACCAGAGGAAATTAATGTTCCTTTTTGGGGCTGTATGGGGGGGGGGGGGGGGGGGGGGGGGAGGATGTGGGAAACCTCTCGGTGATGCCTGCCACTGACGTCTGATGTCTGAGCGAGTGTGGCAGATTAATGATTTGCCAGGGAAACGTGGAGGGAGCTTAAGGAAACCCCCCGAAAATACCAAACCGACCTCATGCCAGCCTGATTAGCTTTTTGCAATGGTCATTAGTCGCTGCTCAGGAGGAATTTGCCTTTATGAAATTCCAAGAGTTGGAAGCGTATGCAAAACATATAGACGTTCTACAATTGGGGTCAACACAGTGGAAGTAATTATATCACAATAATTTCTCAGGGCTAGCAGTACGCGAATTCTTCAGGAATTTACGTTTTACTAAAAATTAATTTAAACAAATTTTTAAAAATGGTATAATAATGTTTTTCATTCAATTTTCAATAAAAATGATAAGGTTGATCATACATATATATTAAGAACAGTTTCCAAAGGCATTTGAATATTTAAATTCATTTTATTTTTAGCTAGGTATTTCCAATCTATAATAATAATCTATTTAAAAATTCTAAATAAATTCCATACTACCCCCTGCTGTTCAAACCCACACATGCATCAGCTAACTAGGGAAATTATAATAAAAAAACTTTTCGAGAGCCAAATAACTCGAAATGCCTTTTTGATGTTGTAGAAATATTCATGTTGCTGCCAGCACAACAGCAACTACAAGTTTCTCGCATTCATATATGAAGAAAGGGATCTTATAATAAATTCCAGTACGGGCAGCCAAGTTGAGGATGACGAGAAACGACAAGGATTCAATGTGAAGAAGGAAACTTTTGCCTTCTTATTTTTGCCTTTTTTGGCCAAATTGTTGCATGCAAATGCGAAGGACTTGCGAGTAAGTGTGTGTTGTAGTTTCATTAGGATTACAGTTAGCTTACAGTTTTGCCAGACCAAACCCAACCCCCTGCCCCCTGGCAAACCCTCAACCCCCCTTTAAGCTGGTTATTGAGTTATGACGCATGCGAGTTGTAAGCAAAAGTGTGGGGGGAAATAAAAATTTGCTGCTTAAAAAGTCGGTAACTATACCCACGCACACACATAAAAAAAAAAACACATCCGAGCAGATTTCAACTTATATATAACATAGTACCATAGTTGGATGCGAGTTTGTGTGAGACGACATAACAAAAGCTTTGGCAATAAGCATGGCAGCCCAGGCTGACAGACATGGCTCGAGAAAATCACAGCCGCCCCCCCCCCTTGGAAAACCCCCTGCCACCGCCTCTGGCATCCCTTTGAATTGAAGTTGCAGCTGATCCATGAAAATATGTTGCATCCAGCCCGACAGCAGCAGCAACAACCAATCTCGAGTACTGCTACTTACAGCTTGTGGCTCATAAAAAAAGCGGAGTAAAAATCCAACTAACATAAAATCTATAAAAATGTGCACAGAATTGAGGAGCAGCCAGTGGAGATGGGGAAATATTTGCCCAGGAATGCAATTTGGATTAGCTTAAAGTGAACATTTCTATGGGTAAAACAACAAATGTATTTACTGTTTAAAGGGAATTTGTAACAATAACAAAATTAATGAAAAATTATTACATTTTAAAAATTTAATTTACGAAATAAAATCATTTTTAAAATATGGAAATTCTTTAGGAAGTTTTGTTACAGAAGGATTATTTTTACTTAGAAAGTAACAAAGTGTATTACTATATATTATTCGGGTTGTCACAGATGATTTCTTAAAACGTATTTGATAGGAAATCAAATCACAAGCTTTCAAATAATATGTTTATTATATTTTTGGATATTATTATTATACGCAATATATTTAACAAATAATCTCTGTTCAAGGTTTGTTTATAAAATGTCTCCCTAAGATTTAAAGACCCCACCAATCAATCCCTTCTTAAAGCATCTTCAACTCCTTGACAGCCCCATTCGTTGGTTTGTTTGTTATTGGTTATACATAAGCTTCCATTATCGATTCAGCTCTACGAATCCGTTCTTTCTCCCTTTATTGGTAAAAAAAGAGGCAACCCCCCAACGTCCCCATACCATTTACCCGAGGACATTTCCTTGTTGGCGAATGCTGTTGGCATGTTGCCGCTGCATTTTACATTTTTACTTCGTTAACTTGATTTCCGCCGCCAAATGAATGCAGGCGAGAACGTTGCGAATCGCAAAAAGTTGACAGCTTCAAGCGATCGAAGCGTGTTTAAAGTTTAAATATTTGGTTACAGGGAGGCGGCGAAATTCAATTTACGCCAAACAAAATCATAATCCATCTATCATTCATCAGGCGGCGAACGGAAGGAACTTCATAGATACGCGCCAACCTGCAAGCTCAGATACAGATACAACGCATCTGTATCTGGGGGGTATGAGAAGAAGGTTTTCTGTTCTGTTCGGCTCTTATTTTTTTTTCTTGGGGTGGGGGGCTCTCATGCCGGGGCTTTTCTTTATTTCTTTTTACATATTTTGTTACGCTTGTAAAGCTCAAATCCCCAGCGTATAAGCATTTCTACTTCAGTCGCTGCTCAGTTTAGCAGGCCCCCAGTCCCCGTTTTATTTTTATCCCCAAACTCTTACCTCTCTTTTACCCGGCAGCTTTCTCCTTGTTTGCCTTTGAATTTGACAAAATGCGTGGCTGGCATTTGCCTGATAACGTGGCTAGTACGGCCTTTAAAGCCCGCTCAACAAATGGCCAGAAAACGTTTCGAAAGCGTGGTGAGTACTGGGTCTAAGGGGTACGAACTCCCTGGAAGGTTTCTCTTTGTGCCTTCTCCAGGTTTTCCCATTTTTTTTTTTCATTACTTGCAAAGGAGAAATGTGTGGGGTTGTTCGGAACATAATGCTTCTCTATAGAGAGCGGGGAATACAAGTGCGCCTGCGTTGTAACTTGGGTAAAAAAGCAGCGCTGCCAACGTCGCACACTTGACGTTTCTCCCTTGATATTATTTTATTTTGGGGGTGGCATTCGGTCTTCCAGTTTTGCCCCTGTGTGTGTGTGTGTGTGCTTCTGCTGCGAGGGTGTGTGTGTGAGCGGACCACAAAAACAAATGCCAGCCAGAAGTTCTGTGGGCAGTAGCTGGCGGGCCTTACGCCCGGCAAGTCTTCGTTCTTCGGTCTTTGGTTCCCAAGAACACCCCCGTGTATCCCCCGGATTCTTGACGCCGACGCCTCGCGATTACTCCAATTCGTGTGCGTGCGATAAGAAAGTCGAAGTCTCGAAACTCGAGGACCACAGCCAAAGTATCTTATTGGAGTCGCTGGCAGAATCATTCCTTAACGCGACGCGTCTCGGTGCGGTTGTGTTCATAGATCCCATCTGAAATACTTAGATTCTCAGGGCATATCCGTGGATTAACAATGTGACATCGCAGTGAACTTGGACAACAAACTTAGCTTTATTACAATTTAATTGACACATTAATTGAGCCATTATCATGGGCTCTAAAATACGAATTCTCAAGAAGCAAACCATTTATAAATTTAAAAAAATTAATTATCAGGTAAGTGAGTGATCCAAAAAAGTGAAATTGTTAGAAAGTTTTTGAGTCACAATTTTTAAAATTTTTAAGTTCAAGTGCTTTGAAAATGTTGCCAAATTTTTAATGAGTTTAAATTTGTGCAATTTTTTTAACGGTTAATTTTCAATCATCTCCATTTTCTACAATTGAAAAGACTCGATCATCTTATTTCAATATTTTATTTTTTAACACGATGACATGATATTATGATATTGGCTTTATTTTAATTTTTTTCTTAACTTTTGTGGAATTGTAAAAAAGAAGTGTTGGATTACTGGAAGCTATATTTTTTGACATTGTATGCTTCCTTGTACTTTTTTGTATAAAAAGTGTTTGTAAGAATACGGTATTTTTAAGTTATGCATGTTATTTAATATTCTTTAATTTATTTATTTAATGATATACCTTTTTTAAAATCGCTCCAATTCAAGAAAATAAAATAGAAGAATATACGGAAATTTCGGGACAATTAGAAATAAATCTTAGTCGGAATCCAAAATGCGTTATAAAATAAGTGCAATCGTTAAGATTTACAAAATTGTGATTTAGCGAGTAATGGATGAGAAAGTGGTTTCAGTTTCATATTATATGCCCAAAATAATTTAATTTATTTGGAGTTATATCTTTTCGAAAAATTGGTTTTACACGGCGGGTATTTTAAAATCATTTTAAACCAAAAACTTTTTTATAAAGCACATATTTAGTGTCCAAGTCACATTTTGGGTAGTGTTTATCTTCACTGCCACATCGCGAATATCTTTATTTTTATTCGAGTCAATATTATCATTTTAGTTGAGTTAAGATCACCTTTTAAAGATCGACTGCCGTTACAAAAACACAACCGCACCCAACGAGCCAACGCGCCAAAATAACTTCACATCCTGCAAAATCAAAATCAGAGCCAGAAAACGAAAATGAAAACAAGGCCAGCCGGCGAAATAATTGCATAAATTAAAATGTTAATTATGCCAGGACTCTCGCATTCTCTCTCTCACTCTCTCTCTCTCTCCGTCGGCTTTTCTCACTCTCCTGGTGTGACGTCATCAAATGAGCGAGGGACAAAATGAAAAATGAAACAGGACGAAAGAGAGAGAGCGAGAGAATTAAACAAGAGGAGAAAATTTGCAGGCGGAAAAATATGCAAAAATGCGAATGGGCGAAATTAATGAGCAGTAGTAACAGGAGCAAAGGCAGCCAGGATGTTTTTGCCAGGACCTCTCGCTGCCGCAGTCGCTGCCGCTGCTGGCGTCGCAGTCGCCGCTCTGCCCAGACTCTGCTCATTACTCAAATGAGAAGCGCAGGACTCGTTGTCCTTGGCCGTGATTTTGGTCCTGTTCGTGCCGCCTTTTCCCCCTCGTCGCAGCCACCGTTCATTAACATAATTTTAATTTGGGTTAGTGAGACAAACGGCCGTTGAACCTGGCTGTCTGGCTGGAAAATCAGGAAATCAGGACGTGAGCAGCTGTTGGAGAGCATCAGAATTTTGGTTTTTTCTTTATATGTTAATGAGCTGAAGGATACAACCCCATAGATATACTCCTTTTTTATGCAAATGAGCTTTTTTTCGGGCCTTACCTGAGGGCCTCGTTTTTTTGTATAGTATTTTTTTGGTTTTTTAGGGGCTGCTGCAGCTGGCCAGGATTTAATTGCAGTACATCGATCACAACACTCGCCGGCTAATTTGCATATTTTTTTTGCCATTTTTGCCAGCTCTTTTTTTTGCATGCGCAAATTCTTTATGCAAATTCAAGTGCATTATTTGCAAATCATGTTCCGCGGGCAACTCTGCTGTCAATTACCGAATTGATTTCGACGGATGCGAATTGCTTGAGTGCTTGTCGTTAGTTGTTGGTTCAAATTTTGGACTGGGGTTGGGTTTTCCTGGGTGGAAGGGATTGTCTACTTTGCCAATTATGAGCTTAGAAACGATTTACTAACTAGAAATGCTTGGGGGTTAACGGAATTGATAGCCATAAAAGAGAGAAACCTAAAGAGATTGTATACTGTTAATCAGTATATGATTAAAATTAATATAAAGTGTTCCAGGCTAAGAAAATATATTTTTAGGAGGATAAATGGGTTTTAGAAATCCAAGATTTTTATAGAAACGTTCTTTCATAACACCTTTATATCTTATAAAATATATTTTCACATTGATTTTATAATTTTAAAAATGCAAAATACATTTAAGAAAGTAAATCAGTTATTTATAATTCAAGACATTGAATTTTCTAACCATCTAAAAATAAAAAAATATATATTTGCATAAAGCCCCACCTTCTTGCCCGCCGACTCACATATTTTCAGAAAACACATATCGAACCGTTTCCAAAAAGAGACCTTAAGCCCCCCTTAAAATGAACTCCACCCCACAAATCGATATCCTTTTGCTCGGCTTTGTCTGATGCCTTTCGCGATTTCGTTTCGCCATCAATCGCGATGCGAAATCGTTTTAGATAAGGCCCGAAACGGCGATGCGTTGGCCATTTATGACAACACACCCATAGTTCAAATCTAAAACGTTTCCACCCGCTGAAACTAAATGGGAAATTGCCACCCACCAAATACACACAAACACACACATGTCAGGAGGAAAACTGCCATTTTCTTTTGGCTTTTGGCAAGCACACACGCACACATGTTTGAATTTGGAGCGTTTTCTTCATCCCGACACATGAGTAAATGTTTGATGGTTGCTGTACCAATACAAATACAAACAACAACCACAGACACACGAAAACTGTGAGGGTGAACAAGGCAGGGCAAAAAAAAAAAAAGAAAATAGAAAAGCGTGGGACACACACATCAAGTTCGGGGGGTGGCTGCTTTTCCAAAGTGGGGTGGTTGAGTGCTTCGTGTTTCCATATTGGCATGTGCAAAAAGTATAAAATCGGGGAAAAAAATTGAGAGACAGCGCCAGCGAAATAAACCAAATATTGTATCTGCGGCTGCCGAGTCTCTTTGGCCCCCCGAAAACCCCCTCTCAACAGCGCCTCTGCCCTCCTTTGTGGCTCCTTGCCTTGCTTTCTGCTTTGTGTTAGAGTAATCCTTTTTAGCAAAAAGCGAACGCTGCATAAAAAAAATAAACTACGAGAGGAAAATACATATCAAAATGTTGAAAATAACTGACAGGACGACAAGCAGCAGCACTCCCCCTTCTCCCCACGCCCCTGGATGTCTATATCCTTTCTCTGTAACTCCGTCGCCATCTATTTCTCTGTCCAACTGTCGCGGGTTTTGAAGGGAATTGAATTATAGCCAGACATACATGAAGTTTCCTTTAGCAGAAGTGCCAGGGTCTACACCTAAAGAAATATAAAAACAAATTAAAAATATTAGAAAAGGACATACATATCGCTTTAATTTGTTAGAAATCATTTTAAAATGTATCTATAAAATTATATTTAAAACAATCTTTAAGATACTTTTCAGTATTTTTTCAGTATTTTCTAGTTTTTCTAAATTATTCATTTATTTGCTGTATTAAAATCTTATAACACAACATTGTATACAATTTAAGCAGTTACTAAACTAGATTATATTTACCCATAATGGTAAGAGTATTTTCCATTCGATTTTCCATTTCCCCAGCCTCCTTCGTTGAATGTTTGCCTTTGTCAGGTGCGCCGACAAAACCAATTTTCAAATATTTTCACTTGGTTTTTTCTTGGCTGTCAGGCCACTCATTGGCAAAATATTTGCTTGACTAAACAGAGATGTATATGGTATGTACACACAGCCAGTCAGACAGACAGTCAGACAGACAGTCAGACAGACAACCGAATGCGTCTGTCAAAGTCAACAATGCAGTGCTGGCAAATCAATTTTTGGCCATGGGCTGATGGGCGATGGATGGTGTTGTATGGGGCGAGAGTGAAAGGTTTCGCGCCGAGAAAATCCTTTAACGAGACAGACGGGACAGATTATGCAAATTAACGGCGAACAAGTTTTTATTTTTCGCAAATCAATAACAAGCATCGTGTTAGGCGAAAAGTAAATTTGCATAAAATTTCCACACTCCCCACTCGGCTTTCACCTCCGCGGACAGCGGGAAATTCCTTTTTTGCCTTTATTAGTTTTGCAGCGAACGCATTCGACATTTTACAATTTTTACATTCTGCAATTTTGCAATTTTTATTCTTCTGCATTCGAAAGAGGGAGGATTCGAGGCGAGGCGAGTTGGCAAAATATGCAAATGAAGCTCTAGTTGTTAGGGTTGCATATGACCTGAGGGGTTCGAGGGATGATCAGCTGAAAGTAGAGAGAAATCTGAATATTGATTTTTATTTTATAGTTTTGAAAAGCTAGCAATTTACTTGGGATCTAGTTGATATATCAAGGAGATAAAGCTTTTGAATTAGGGAGTCTAAAGGATCAGGAGAGATTATTTTGGTAGATAATCATGTAATCAAATTATTTTATACAATGTTACTAGGGAATCCCAAATTTAAATGATTATAAGTTTTATTAAAGAGATGAGATCCACTGTGCATTAATTCTTAGTTTCGTGGGCATAGTTTTATATATTTAGAAATATAGTTAACTGGATGAAGATGAAGTAAGATTTCAAACTTAAGTTTTCTTTCTTTTCAGTTTTTCTTATCATAAACATTTATACAATCTCATCTCAAGTTTAGACCTCTAATCCAGACATTTCCGTAACCTCTCGACATCCCAACTCATTCTCATCTGATGGCCGAAAAGCTTTGCACAAACAATTTGCCGCATTCTTATGGCCGCGAAAGGAAGAAACTATAACAAACAATTGTGCTGTTAAGGAAAAACATTTTCAATTTCTGCACAAAGCAAACGTTACGATCCCCAGCCAAGTCGAGCTCAAGTACAGTTAACAGTTTGCCCATTCCGCTCTTCCTGAATAAAATGCGAAATATTAAGCATAAAATATGTAACCCATTTCAAAGGGAAAATGGCAGAGAAAACGAGGGAAAACCCGGGGAAAATGGGGGGTACTTCTCGACTGATGGTTGGGCGATGCCAAATCTAGAGGCACATTCTGGCAGATTTACTGCATATTGGCCCGGCGTCAAAAGCAGCCAAAAATTGCGCGAGGCGACGGGCGCACAGTTGAGTGCGTTGCTATCCCCCAGAAGTGCCACCCCCTCCCGAGGTTTTTCCGCTGACTTTTCCCCCCTCCAGCTCAGCACTTTTCCCCGTGTACAGAAACAGCATTTCTGGCTGCGACTGGTTCTGGCAGTCAGCATTGTCCTTGTTCTGGTCCTGCGCTCTCGTGAATTTATTTCCATCATTAGTTTTGGCACTTGAAGCTGAACATAAATGTGATTTATAAAGATTTTTCCACACCCATACACACAAACACCGCGAAAAATCAATCTTGAGTATGTATGTATATTGGTATAGGGATCGTCGAAACGAAGGCAAGACACACCCACATCATCGAATATGCATTATTTTGACATTAGCATAATTTACTCTGCGGCCCAGGAAAAAGGAAAAGGGGCAGGATGAGTAGGTGTATCCTTGTATCCTGGGACTCATCCCCAGACATCCTGGCGCTCTGTCATTGGCACTGCGGCCACAGGGCTTGTAACAAATAGGATTCCATCATAATAATGTTCCCTTGGTATATATATATATATATATATATACGTATATAGGAATATTTGAAATACGTATAGACGTTCATCCTGTGACAAATACGACAGGATTCGCAATTGCAAATATTTCAAACTCAAACACACGACATTCTCGCTCCTCGACTTTGGCTTTTTTCGGCTTGGGGGATTTGCTTTCAGCTTTCTGCCAGCGACACTGATGCCTCGCAAAATTGATGACTATAGTGCGTGATGTCATTTGCATGACAGTTGCGCATCC